CATAGCATACAACCTTGTTCTGATGTGTTAAAATTACATTTAAGATCCTATTGTGACGAAAACCATACCACTGTGGTATCCTCACTTTGACATGCTTACATTCTTAGGACTTGCTGTTGTCAAAGGTAATGGAGGTTTCTAACTGTCTCTGAAGCAAAGCTAGAAGTTCAGTGCTAATAGACGTTTGCTTTTAAAAATCTCTCTCTGTTACAAGGTTTGTGAGCTTAAGCCCTAACGATTTGACAGTATTTGTCAGCCATGTAGCTGTTAATTGAAACAACTGTAAACTTCTCAGAGATTTATAACTGATAAACTGATATAAACTGATCCTCACGGGAAAGAGACAAGGAAAACAGAGCTGTGTTTTGTATAGATCATTTGCATTTGTCCCACAGTTGTAAATAAGAGTCGAGCACTGTACAGACACAGCGGAATACATCAGGAGCAATCAGCTAGGTCAGGCCAGGCTCAGTAGGTCTGGGTCAGTATGAGCCACGACGTGCCTGGCCTGGGCAACATGGTGCTAAACCCACGGAGCGAGACCGAAGCCTGAAGTCTCAGCGTGGGCTGGTGCTGGGAGTTCAGACCCTGCTTGCCCTCCCCCAAACCAGCCTTCTCTGGGACTGGGAAGGGGAGACACCTTTATCGGGAAGGTGGTTTTCCCAGGGTAAAACTCATCAATTGCAGTTCGGGTGTGCTGACCCCTGTGATTTCCACAGATGCAAAGCTAATGAATAGAGCTGTAATCTGTTAATAGGTGACTAATTTCAGACCATGGCAAAACCATTATATTTGTAATGTGAAATACTAGGGCAAGGAAAAACATATGTCACAGACTTGGGATAGAGGAAGAAGGTGGCAGAAAAAGGAATATAACCATGATTAAAGGCACATCAGAATTCCTTAAACATATTCAGAAAGTGCAAGTAACTGTGCAAAAGCACCGGAAGATTCTAGTGACAGGTAAACCTGAAAGCATACGGAAAACTTAATAGCTGTCTGTTGCCCATTTACCAGTCTGACCTACCTTCTTCCTGTCTGCTCTCTTCCTCCTCTGGACCCAGTACCCAAAATCACTGAAATGTAGACGAATTTTCTAAGGGTATGTGTTAAAACACTTTATTGCTTAAACTAGATGGAGGCTCAGAACAGCTTCAAAGTGACTTTTGGTTTCTATAAAAAGCAAAGGTAGTAAGACAAATGTCAATAGCATTGATTTTCGGGAAATTTTCTAAAGGACAGTCAGGGTACATTGATATATGAGTCTGGAAATGTTGTGAAAGATAGCAGTAAGCAATAATGGAGAATATTTAATTTAGTAAAGGGCATGCCATGTGGACCCATGCAAAAATTATCAACTGGCATAGTAAACCAGAACATTTAGAGAAAGAAATATCAAATTTAAAAAAAAAAAAAAGTAAGAAATATGCCCTTTTTTTAATTAAAGTATATTCCTGTATCTTTCATATTCTTCCTGAAACCATTGAAATGGACATTTAGTTAGACAATAAATAAAAGCAGTGAATATGCTTATAAATAATATCATGCAATAGTTTCTGAAGTCACCTGTCGAAATAGTGAAGGGATTCTAAGTAGTCTCAGAAATGTTAAATCTGCGGTTTTGAGGGGGTAAAGAGTAGAATAGAATAATGTATTAATACCAGCACTCTATGATTTTATTTCTAGCTCATTTAGAAGTTTTTCTTACTTTTTAATGTATAGCTCATGGCAAAGTTGCACCAGAGAAAGGTAAGTTGGATAACCAAATAAGAAAGAATGAACATGTGGGTATGTCTTCCTTTGAATATGTATTGCTGCAAATTGTTTGTTGATTTTTGTGGCAAATTATATGCCAGTATACCTGAAGAAATGCCATAACTACAGGCATCATAACAAAGGAAAGACCTTAATGTCCAGTGCTTTCATCTTTTAAAGTATATTCGGTGTAGTAGCCACTCTTGACGTATTTAGTTCGTAAGAAGAGACACTGATTTAATAGAAGTATCATACGAGTAAGTACAATGAAATAACAGCATATTGGAATCACTCCATGCTATTTGAGCTACAGTGGCAAGAAACTGAATCTTACAGTACAGAACCTCAGGAAACAGTTTTCCTTTACTTTAAAGAAAAGATGTGTGGAAAGTGAACTTCTGTGCAGCTATTTCATAAGTGAATGGTCACAGGTGATACAGAAGGAGATTATGCTGTAAATAATCAAGTCAGAACATTCTTATAGAAAGGCTTCTTAAATAAAGTCTTTATGTTTTTGTATATAACCTTTACATAATATCAAGCGGACATAGGTATACTCAATTTGGGATCATTTTCATTCTCCCGGTGAGGCACCTCAGATGAAGCTCAGACTTGGCAGAAATAACAGAACGTGAAATATATTATGCATAGTCTTGGTTTTTTTCATGCTCTCTGTGGAGGATAGCCTGCTGCATTCTTTGTCTTTCAAATTTTACAGTATAAATTAACCTGTTTTTTATTCTTAACAATTACTAAAAAACAATATCTGAACCCCAGTTTTCCTATGTTTATTTAATTACTAAAAGTGCAATTCTTACAGAAAAAAAATAAGAATAATTAATCACTATATATAGAGAAAAAAAAAATCTGCATCTTTAGTTGATTGAAAAAAAAAAATCCTTTCTGCCTCCTCACACAAGAAAAGAAGGAAAAGAGGGAACAAAAATTGAGCAAAGAATCTATTATTTTAGCACAAATACATACCTTCTAATGGACGTGGCTGCGATAGTGAGGAGGGGGTAGCACATGGGTTGGTGACAGATACCAAGGCGACTAATCTGAGGGAGACTGTTCACTGAAGGCTTAAATAGCCAGCCATGGTGGGTTGTGAAATAGATCTGTTTGCTCTTAATCATTATTTTATTTCCAGTGTTGCTTTTTAACATTGTATATTATTGCTTGATAACACCAAGAAAAAGATACTGTATTTTAACACGAAAGGAATCAAGTACAGTGTGCCATCACCCTCAGGGCAGAAAGGGCACTGATAGCACATGAGCCTAAAAAGTGGCATTCTCACTTTTGTGAGCTGGTTGCTGATAGCAACTTGATGAAAAATGAGTCCACCTCACTTACGAGATCGGAATGATTAAGCCAGCCTGGTGGGCCCGGTGTGCAGGTCCTGCTGCTTTCAAAGGGCTGTGTGTGTGTTGTGCTGTCTGCCGGCTGGATCTCCAGCTGAGGTGAGCCGGGTGGCAGCACGGCCGGGGAACGGCTCTGCTCGCCCAGGCAGCTTCTCGTCGGGGAAGGGGAGAGGGAGCGTGGCACGGGGGGTCCTGGGGGGACGTTTCGTCTGGTGCCAGTCTCACATACGGTCTGTGGACGGTGGTCAGCCCTGGGTGGCTCTTCTGCTGGCAAACAGGCTCTTGATGGTCGTCAGAATAGCGTACACATGCCAAGGACAGGGGCTGCAGAAACGAGGTCCTGCAGTAAATACAGATCCCGATTGACTGAGGAAGTGGGTCGTGTGCTTTGGTGAAAGTGGGAGAGAGAGGGAAAACTTAGTCTGGCCTCTTGCTGCACCCTAGTAGGGCACGTTTTGTTGGTTAAATTGTGTATCAAAAAACCCACTACTGACACTGAAATAAAGTGATGAGCCCAGAATGAAACAAATCCCATGGCAGCCTTCAGAGTTCCTGGAAGTGCTGGAGATGGTTACGTTTCTCTTCTTAGATACACAGGAATGATCCTGGAGGGGTGAAACATGTTGTCCAAAGTCACAGAATGTATCAGAAGTAATTTTAGGAAAATAATTTGTTGGTTCACTCCCTATTCTGCATTTAAAAAACGGCTGTATTTTGATGTAAGAAACCAACTTCAATAACCACTATTAATTCTCCAAACAAAATAATTGCCACGTTCTTAGTAAATTGAGAGACAAATGATTAATTCCTGCTATGGGGTGTGATGTATGCTGGATTACCTGAAAGATGTAGTTGACTAATGGGTAAGTATTGATATACGCTCTAAGATCGTAACACTGCTACAAATCTTAGAGTCATCTGTATGCGTAATAATACGGAAGCTAATTTTTCAGCTTGCCCTAATGCCTCATTCATAGTTTCAGTGCACTTTGGATCCAGATTCAATGTGAAAAATTGCTTGTAATCATGTGAAATGAAGAATTTGCAATTATGATGTGAATATTTTCTTGGAAGGTCTAAATGAGTGGATTATGTACTTATCCTTTAGTTAATAATACCTAAATGAAATAGTCCTAAGGAAATAGAGGATTAACAGAGCAGAAGTATAATACACAGCAAGTGGTCTAGCTGAAGAAAGACTACATAATCTAAAATATCCTCAGCTAAATCCACTGTAGCAGATTTAGCAGGGAGACTGAATTACTTCAGATACACATGTGCTTACAGTGGTCCATTTGGGTCAAGGCTAAAGTTCAGGAAGGCCAAAGAAAGACTCTCAGGCTGCCTTTCTGTTCTTGTACCTATGTAGTCCGTGAGTAGAGGACTCCAGCTGTGAAAGGACATAATCTTCTTAAGAATACAAAAGCTAAATATTTGTGTAAAAACAAGTGAACAAATGTAGCATGATAGCACACGGATACACCGAGGAGCTTCATTCTGTTGTTTGTAAATGTCTGAGTCATTGGGAAGTCCAGCTCTCACTAAGGTCGGCTGAAAAATCTTCTTTAGTATATGTAGAACAACAGTTCACCAATTCCCAAACTATTTTTTTTTATTTGCTCCCAAACTAACGTTTTTCCAAAGTTGCAGATCCATTTCATGTGCAAGTGTATTCAAAAATCTTGGTATTTCTGCATGAAAGTGGCAATCAATTTCTGTATTAATGAAATTGCATTTATAGGTTCTAAGTGACATTACCAGAGAGTAAGGACATGCATTTTGATGTTGTTTAGTGACACAAGTTAAGGACCCAGGTTTCCATTCCTAGATCCTAGCTACCTTCTTTTGATCTAAAACAGTTTCCTCTCTGCTTTTTTCCAGGTCTGGAGTTGGTGTGACAGGCTCTAGGCAGACGTTATTTTATGCAGAAGTAACAGACCAGATGAGAGCTGGTGAAGGAGGTGGCCAGCCTGAAGAAGGAGAGTTGATTGAAGTTGTAGAAATACCTTTAGAAGATTCCATGAAGTTTGCTTATGATGAGACTCTCCCGAAGACAATGGGTGTCATCTTCAGCTTCATGTGGTTCCAAAACAACATAGAACCCAAGCTACCAAAAAAATAAAGTCAAAGCACCATGATTTTAAGAAAAGCTTTCCTGCTTCAAATCTGCCTGCCTCGATGAACTCAACTTTTCACAGAGCAAATCTTTCTTGAAATAAATTTGGAAGCAAAATCTGAATTAAAATCCTCACCCAATTTACATCATTAACAAAACACTTACTGGCTTCACTGGGGCCAGGATTTGCCTCTGAGAAGCAAATGCTGATTTTTGCGCAAAGGCTAAGTAAACGCATCCAGCTCTTCTTTTTCATGGAACTGCTCTACCACTATTTTGAAGAGTTGCTCAGGACCTCAGTGCAGCTGCTGTGGGAGCCTGTCACTGTGGGCTGTACGTAGTGGCAGCTGTGTATTCACTGTAGTTTCTGATATTTCGGAGGGGGGAGGTGGGGGAGAGAGGCAGCAAACCTTAACAGTCACAGACATCCTAAGTACGTTCCTGAGTTCTGCACAGCTTTCAGGGAGCAGCTTTCCCTGTGGTGTGTAGCTCCTGTACAGAGAAAGTGTCTGCATTTCTGAACATGCAAGCCTCTATTTCATAAGCAAACATGTCTGTAAATCCTTCTGCTAACGTGTCATATTGACAATAGACCAGCTGTAAGATTATGTGCTTCTGTTTGTTCCCGCTATAATGCCGAGCAGCAGTGATGTGGTAGAGGGCTGAATGATGGGGGCTTCCACTGGAACACATGCTGCTTTGTTTGTTCTATGGGTAATACTTGATTAATTAGATCAAACTTTGTCCTCTAGAGCGGCACTTGAGAGGCCAAATTCTTTTAATTTGACCCTGAGGTGACTAATACAAGTGATTTCTCTGAGGTGTTCCGTGGTCTCAGGTTCCTTATCACCCAAATGGAAAGAATGGGACTTAACCTCTCGGATAACGCTCCTTGAAATCTAATGATCAGAAGTGCTTTATTGAGAGATTGTATCATTTGTGCAGGTTACATTGAAGCCTGTGCTACCTGCACAGATGTACTGAGCAACACAATTTGATTTAATAAAGTGGTCTAATTAGAACATATATTACTTGTTCTATCAGTGTAGTTTAGAGGTGGACTATTTGTCATGTGAAACTGTTAAGAGCATGAATGAAAGAGAATCAAGTCTGGCAATTTAATTATACACTGGTTTATGTTATTCACTGACTTAATTAACATGCCTACATTATATGTGCTTCTAGGATTACTGAGGTACTAAGTATGTTTAGAAGATGAGCACAGCGAATATACAAACTTTCATAGAGCAGCTGGAATAAATGCAGTACAGATGCCTGATGTTGTCCAGTGACTGATTTAAAATCACTGCATATCTAAATAGGTGTATAAATAAATAATTTTATTTTTAAATGCTTTTAGAACTGGTACTTACTGGTTCTCCTGCTGACAGGGAGGAAAGCCACTGAAGAAAGAGAAACCTTCGTCTGTGGGAGTCAGACACTCCTGTGAAAGTTCAGGCACATTCGCGTTGAACTGTGCCTGGTCTGTGGTGAGTCAAGGGCCAAGTTATCATGGAGAGCAAATGAATTCTGTCTGTCCGATGTCTTTACATTGGAAGGTGTTTTAGGGCAGGATCTCCACTGCTCTTCATCTTTATGGTGTCTAGTACGTGTCCTGATTGCTGCTGAGGCCTTTACGAACTACTACAATATGCATAATAAATAATGACTTTTATTCCAGGCTGTAGTTACGAAAGTATCTGTTTGATTCTGTCAGAATTATTACACAGTGGCTTGTTGATCTGTTTAGTGTCAACCTAATAAGTGTGTGTGTGTATACATGTCAGAAGCCTTTTTTGCTGTATAATGCAGTAATTTGGAAAAATAAATCGGTGTAGTAGAAGGGGGTCAGAGCTTGAAACTTTTCAAAGCAGCATTTATGTATGTGTTCATACCGCTTGCACCAGATTTGCAAATGGACAAAACTCCACTTCTGATGAGGCTGAGAGCTTTCCCCAGCCAGACATTCCCTCCCCTGCTGCATCCAGGACCTGGAGTCCGTGCTTCCCAAGGTGCTCTCGCGCTGCATTAACGGCCTTGGTGAGAGCCCGTGGCTCTCACCCACGAGTGGTCAAGGTGTGACTCGTCCGTCTGGAATTGCCTTCAAATCTCTGCCCTTGCATTCGGTTTGGGCTCCTCAGAGCACCCCGGGGGGGGGGCAGGTCAGCCAGAGCCGGACCTGCCGTGCCACCACGCCACGGGCTGCCGGGGAAAGCGCACGGCCATTCCCAGCGAGGGGGAGGGTGAAGGTCCCAAAATCTCTGCGCGCGTGGCGCAGCTGGTGCCAGCCGGTCGTGCCTTGGTTGCACGTCCTTTGAGCTGTACGTTTGGGAACACGCTCGCCAATATTCTGCACCCTCCAAGGCGCTGCGGCTGTCCCGTGAACGTGAAGTCCCTCGCCAGGAACGTCCGCGTGTTGGGGGGGAGCGCCGAGGGCAGCGCCGGATTTGCCGATATCTGGCCCAAACTGCCGCTGCTGCTCAGCAGGAGGCTGCTCCCCGTCACTCGGGGGGATTTTTTTTGTGTAATCGGTATTTCTCTTCCAGATAACTGCGACAAGAGGGCAGTTTCATGAGCTGGGCAGTCCCCCAGCACTTCATGATCCAGAAGGCCAGGCAAGAAGCTGAGCGGCATTGCCTCCATCTCCCAGTCTGTCCCTCCCCGGGGGGTCTACGGGGCAGACACCTACAAAATCCGGGGGCACTGCGGTGGCTCTGAAGCCTTTACAGCCCAAAGGATGCTACACGCCAGCCCTGCTCTCCGCCCAGCCATCGCCGTGATTTGTAATTCTCAAACAGCAACAAAATGGTCAAGGGATTACTTTGGTTTGCTTCCACAGTTTAGGAGTTTCCCACAGAAACAGCAGTGATGCAGTGTAGTGAAGGCTGTACATAAAGCGATGTGGTATCTGGTGTTTGGCTTTGCAGTGTTAAATACAAACATATCTTCATCCTTTTCCTTTATCCCTATTAATCTTGGTGGGGATTTTCATAAGGAATTAGGAAGGTTTGAAAACGTGGGAGAAAGGACTCCAACTTTTTTTCAGAATAGATGAGTCGTAATTATAAAAATAAAACCAGAGCAATTCAGATGCCACTTCTCTCATCAGGGCTCATTTCAAAGATTGTAATTAGATCAAATGCAATAAACATCGGCCAAGACGAGGCAGGAAAAAAGTGCTTCTAATGGAAGCTTGAAATCACATCTCTGTTTTAGATGCATCTTTTGGACGTGCCACCACACATACGTCCATGAAGAGCAGACAGTTCAGAATAAAATAGGGTCCTCATTTGCTGGTAATGAATACTGACTCCAGCCTGCAAAACTCTTACCTGATCTCATCCCACCACCCCCATGAGCTCAATGTCTTTCTTTTACTGAGTGCAATCGAGTGGTCTGCATTTAAGAAACAAATCTTAGCATCTCTGTCATCTTTATGATGTGGCTTTGGGATAGAGAGGTAATCTAATGAACCTGAAATTATGATTCAGGCTTCCAATGAAGCCTGAATTGATAAAATCTCGAATGTAGTGTCGCTGCCAGGCTCCCTGTTAGGTGGCAGAAGAGACGTCACCAGCACCTGGCAAGTACACGGACCGCGTTTGTTGCTGTTGTTTATTACCTTGTTTGTAAAATAGCTACAAGCCCTGAGCTACTCCCAGGTCTCACGGTATCGTCACTGAACAGCGACACGATGGAAATGCCTCCTCTAAAAGGCCGACACTTTAAATAAAGGAGCTGAATGACACGGCGGGGCGGGCGGGGGCAGGCGTGGGGATGGGGCGCGCGGGGATGCTCCCGGCGCTGCTGGCAGCCGGCTCCCCTGGCAGGCGGCCGCTCGCCTTTTCGCCCGCTCCCTCATTACCATCCCTCCCCGCCAGCCATGAAAGCGGCGCTCCCCGGCTCCCCGCAGGGCCGCGGCCGGGGCCAGGCCAAGGGCAACCGATATAATTGCTTCTGAAATACACGTGCCGGCCGAGCTGGGCGGCCCATTGGACAGAGGGGATTTTTGCTAAATTAGGACAATTGCCTGGCGTGCTTCATCCCCTCGCCGGGGCTCTATACATAGATGAAAGGCACACCCAGTTGTGAAATCTGTTGAAGCGGCACACCTGGTGCTGTCTGCAAGTCTATTCACAACCGTTAGCAGGTGTGACTTGGCCTTTGTGGCCATAAAAGTCTGGCTGCACAGCTCCTGCTGTGCTCCCTGCGCCTTCGCTGCCCTGCGCGCTTTGGCAGGGGAGGCTGTCACAGATTAATACGGTTGTTTGAAGCTGTTAGGAGCCACCGCGTGAAGCCTGTAGCGGCTTCAGAGGGATCAGAGTGAGGCCTGTGCACACAGGAGGGATTTGCAGCTTCGGCCTCGGTGGCTGCGTCGGGGTGGAGGTAACGGGCAGGGCAGGGCTGCTGCCGGAGCCGGGACGCGGCACAGCGTGGTCCCCAACCCTGCAGTCCCAGGGACGCTGCTGAGTGGCCCCGCCAGCAGGTACCAGCGATTTGCAGTCTAGCCCCTCTTTGGGTTCAGCCTCTTCAAGAAGGATTTTGGTTGCTCTGCTTTGGGATGCTGCATCTCAAACAGCACAGCAGTAAGGTGGAGCTCTGAAAACCCCAGCCCCGATCCAGGCTAGAATTTACTTTAAGGAAGGATGCCATGGATTTTGGAGCATTTTTTCAACAGGATTTTTCATTCCCACTGGTTCATACAGGATTTTTCTTGCTGTGAGCAAAAAAAGGGATGCTCATACAAATCCTGCACTACTGCAAAATTTACTCCTCAATTTATCTAATCCTTCAGAGTCAGTCTCACTCTTTAATTGGGAACACATTTTTACTAGGGCTTTAATTGCTCTCCAGATGAATCATGTGGGAGGAGAAGTCGTAATGTATCTAAATGGCCCAGATTTGTGGCGCTCGGAGCTCTCTGGCCCGCCTCAGGACTGGCTTCAGTGCATTTCTCGTAATTGGAAATACAATCAGATGTATTAAACCCTGCCAACCACGCACTGTATTGCTTTGCTGCTGAAGTACTCAATATCCTGTGCTGGCTTCAGTCTCTAATAAAACATTCAAAAGCAGTGGTGATCTGAGAAACCCCTTTTGGACACTTGGTTACAATGAAAATGGGCTGGGAATGGGCAATGTGGGAATGGATGTCAACCATCCTCAATTAAAGGCTACCCTCACGCCCCAGCCTCATTAACTGAAAAATCCCTGGGGTCTTCTTGTGCCCGTCTGTGGTTTGGTGCCCAAGGTCTGTGTGCGACAGGTAGAGCATTCAACAGTAAGATAAACATGATTGTATTATTTTACAAGAGCAAAACTTCGCTGTGATTGCTACTAACGTGCACGTGGCAGGCAGGAGCCAGCCCCGGCTCGGCCACGTCCAACCAACCGGGGATGGACCAGGCGTGGGGTGAGCCCCGAGCAGCGTGGGGCTGTGCGTGGGGACCTCCTGGGGTCACGGCCACCTGTGCGAGGGCCTGACCCCTCCAAACAGCACCGTCCGAGTGCATCTCCATCGCACTGTAAACACAGCCTGGTTTTAACCCTGTTCCCTTGGAGTTGTGGAGCGAGGCTTGGAAGAAAAGATCTGCCAATTAACAGCCCTGAAAATGAGAACTAGGAGGACAACATCCCACCTGGCTCCAAGTGCAGTGGAAACACTGGTGATGAGCCTTGGCCCACTGCGTCGGAGTGTCTGGCACAGCACTGGTCCCACCCCCAGCCCTTTCCCAAAGCCATCACTGGGTGCTGGTGGGAAGAACCGGGTGCTTGCGGTGCCCCATGGGTGACACGGCCTGGCCACCACCTCCGGACCCTCCCCAGGAGCTGCGAGCAAGGGGCTGGGGCTGTGGGAAATGGTGTGCTCCAGCCTGCTGGTCCTCTCCAGAGCTGCAGCTGCTCCAGCTGCACCTACAAACCTGGGAATGGGGACAGGTTTCAGGGCCAGAGTCACTAATTGGGTTTCGGATGAGCCTGGCCAACGGAGGTGGTGGTGAACAAAACATGTCCCCAGCTCCTGCCCGCCGTGCGGGTCCCTCCGGCAGCCCTGACGTGTGTTTGTGGGGATGGGGTGTTTGGGCAACACTTTTGCTCGTGCAGCAATTGCTAAAATAACTGGACAAGGCACAACCACGCACTTGAGAGAGCTAGAAACAATTTAAGAAATGTTCTTGGGACAAACAGCGGACACTGTGCAAACAGCTCCCCGAGGTTTGTGAAACGGGCCCCCCGGCTGTCCAGCCCCGCAGGAATGCACTCACACCGATAACCTGCTCCGCTCCTTTCGTAACCTCCTTCATTTCGTCCTTCAGGCTCCCCCCGCTCCTGCCCGGGGGTTTCGGGGGTGCTGCTTTTGCAAAACCAGAGGTATTGCAAGTCCGTGCTGTGCTATCGCCAGCTCCTCTTTTCTACTCAATGCGAAAGCGAGGGACTTTGTAAGGACTTCAACACGCCCCATGCGTCTCCCCAGAGAAGTAACATGGGGTTTTGTCCCTCCACGGATTCTCGACTTCAGCGCACTTTAAGTTGAAGCTTGCTGGCCTGGCCAGGTTCGCACCGCGGCCCGAGCGCTGCTGACCCCGGAGCTGGCGGTGCAGCAGGGATGCAGGGGCTTGAGTTACAGCAATCCATCAGCTGCTAATGCACTCTGCCAGCCCCACCACTCCGTGCTGCTATCAATCACGTGCGGAGCCCCAGGGCGGGTTTGCAGCACGTTTGCTCCCGCTGCGGCGGGTTAGCAGGGTTGTGGCCGCGCAGGGGAGCCCCAGGCGTATGGGGGCTATACGTAGCCCCTGGAGCTGGGGCCTTGCAGAGGCAACAAGAAAGGGAGGGGGACATCCACACCGTGTCTCCCTGGTCTTTGGGACT